TTTCTTAATGAGAACGGGGTGAGAGACAGTGTCAAAAGCCTTCCGGAAGTCCAGGAAGACTATGTCCACTGCTACCCCTGCATCTAATGATCTGGTGTTCTGATCATAAAAAGCCACCAGATTGGTCTGACAGGACCTACCACTGATGAACCTGTGCTGATTGCCCCTAAGCATGCAGTTCCCTGCTGGCCCCTCCTGGATGTGTGCCAGAATTATTTTCTCAAACAGCGTGCCTAGGATCGAGGTAAGGCTAACTGGCCTATAGTTTCCCAGGTCCTCCTTCCTCCCTTTTTTGAAGATTGGAACCACACTGGCCCTCTTCCAGTCCTCCGGCACCTCTCCAGTGCACCATGAGTGCTCGTAAAGCCGTGCCAGAGGACCTGCAATGACCTCGGCCAATTCCTTTAGAACTCTAGGGTGGAGATCATCCAGACTGGCTGACTTGAATACGTCCAGCCCCTCCAGAAGCTCCCTAACTACGTCCTCGCTAACCCTTGGCCCAGGTGTGCCTCCCCTGCGGCCTGAAGGGGGCCCAACAGGGAGGCTGCTGTTCTGGTTCCTTTAGCTAGCATTGGAGTGATGTCATCGCTGTGAATGTCCAGGAATTATGCGAGGGGCAAGGATCTTTGTAGCTGATATCTTCTTTTGAACCACCTGAATGTCTGGGGTAGACTTAAGACAGGGTAGACTTGCACCATATAGACCAGTGGTCTCCACCCTTTTTATGGTGAAGATCACTTTTTGGTACCCCAGGATCTACAAAGTTCAAGTACTTTGTACCTTAAAGTGCAAAATCTATGCAAAGTCTACAAGGTGCAAATCTTATGAAGTAAGCCTTCACATCTGATGAAGTAAGTCTGCTGTTTACAACAGCTTGTGCTATACATTCATGTGGATAATTAAAGGTAAACGTAACATCAATATTCATCCATGGCAAAAGTCACTTGTGCTAATGCTATTATGGGCCACAGAAGATTCATTCCAAGAGCAAGGGGAGCAATCTTCATTCCCAACCAAAAACAGATGTTTAGAAAAGAACCCTGCCAAGTTTGTCTTGTAGAGTTTACTAAGCCTCTCGGTTTCCAGGAGTGT